TTCGAGTCTGGGGCTGCCTTGCGCTTGTTCGCGACACCTCCGCGGACAAGCTCTCGGCACGCGCCGTCCCCTGTGTCTTCCTTGGTTTCCCAGTGGACTCTGCCGACTGGTCCTTTTACCACCCTCCCCTCCACCACTTCCTTGACTCCCGTGACGTCCGGTTTGACGAGTCCGTGTCCTACTACACCCGGTACCCCTGTCGAGGTCTCCCGGTACCCCCTCCCCCTCTTTTCCTCGCACCCTCTCCTCCTCCTGCTCCCGCTCCTCCGGTACCCCCGCCCCCCCCTGGTCCTGCCCCGTCTGGTGTGTCCCACGTTACCCCTCTACCCTCGGTCGCGCGTCAGGTAGCGTCTCCCTCCCCGCAATCCTCCCCACAGTCCCCTCAGCAGCCTTCGGCACTTCCGCGACAGGTTACAGTGGACTCGGTTGGTGCTGGAGCTGGAGGTGCTGGCGCAGGTGGCGCTAGCTCTGGGGGTGCTGGAGCTGGAGGTGCTGGCGCAGGTGGCGCTAGCTCTGGGGGTGCTGGAGCTGGAGGTGCTGGCGCAGGTGGCGCTAGCTCTGGGGGTGCTGGAGCTGGAGGTGCTGGCGCAGGTGGCGCTAGCTCTGGGGGTGCTGGAGCTGGAGGTGCTGGCACTGGTGGTGCTAGTTCTGGGGGTGCTGGAGTTGGAGGTCCTGGCAGTGGAGGTGCTGGTCCTGGGGGTGCTGAGTCTGAGGAGTCTGACCCAGGTTCTGCGGAGTCCACTCCGCCTCCCCACCGCCACGACACACGACTCCAGGCTGCCCGCCGGCGTGAGCGTGAGGAGCAGGAGCGGTTGGAGAGGGAGCGGCAGGAGCTGCGGGTGCTAGACCTTCTGGAGCAGCAGCGGCAGCAGCGGCAGCAGCAGCAGCAGCAGCCGCAGCCGCCACCGCAGCTTCCTCTGGAGCGGCAGTTGTTCCCACCTGTGAGTGGCCTGCGGGCCCTTGGTTTTTCCTCCTCTCCTCCTGTCCGCTCCCAGTCTCCTCCTGTATTTGTTCCTCCGTTGCCTCCTCCAGACGACCGTCCGGCGGTCTGGTCTTCTCCTCCTCCCCAGTCTCCTCCTCCTTCGGTCCGTCGCGACTTGGTCACTCGTCGTCCTCCGCGTGCTCGTCACTCGTCCCCTGTTACTGACCTCCACACTGCCCTCCTTTGTACGTCTCGTCGTCGTTCTCCTTCTCCTGTGTCCGTTCTCCCGTCTCCTCCTCCGTCCTCTCTCCCAGCCATCCCCACTCCTATCACTGACTACTACCGCACTGTTCGTCCTGTTGCCGCACGTGTCTTCGCCACTCTTGTCATCGACTCTCGTTTCCCTCCGTCGTCGGTCTCTGCTCTCACTGCCGCTGTCACTGAGTTTGCTGCCGCCAGCCGCCTTGACTACGCCACCCGTGTGGTACCAGCTCCTCCCTACCGTCCTCTGTCCGTCGGGGGTGGGTTTGCCCTTGGCTGTGACGTCCTAGAGGACAGAGAGTCTGAGCTGGAGTACTGGGCAGCCGCTTCTCCCTCTGTGTGTGCCATGCTGCTCTCCCCTGAGGGAGACCCCGACGCCCTTGACATACCGACTCCTCGCACTTACCGCGAGGCAGTGTCAGGGGCGTGGGCCTCTCAGTGGAAAGCGGCTATGGACTCAGAGTTGGCGTCTTGGAGATCCACAGGCACCTACGTCGACGCAGTTCCCCCTCCCAGGGCGAACGTAGTCGATGGCATGTGGCTCTTCAAGGTGAAGCGGCCGCCTGGAGCACCGCCGGTGTTCAAGGCGCGCTACGTGGCTAGGGGCTTCAGTTAGCGTGAGGGAGTTGACTTCTTCCAGACCTTCGCCCCGACCCCGAAGATGACTACTCTTCGGGTGTTACTCCACATAGCAGCGCAGCGAGACTACGAGCTGCACTCTCTCGACTTCTCCACTGCGTTCCTCCAGGGCCGACTGCACGAGGAGATCTGGCTGCGCCGTCCTCCTGGCTTCACTGACACCTTCCCACCTGGGACCCAGTGGAGCCTGAGGCGACCAGTCTACGGTCTCCGCCAGTCGCCCCGTGAGTGGCACGACACTCTTCGCTCCACGCTTCGTGACCTTGGGTTCAGCCCGTCCTCCGCCGACCCGTCGCTGTTTGTTCGAGCGGGTTCTACTCCTTTCTTTATCCTTGTCTACGTCGACGACTTGGTGTTTGCTACAGCAGACAGGGCAGCCCTGGCTCAGGTGAAGTCCGAACTGCAGAAGAGACACAAGTGCACTGACCTGGGTGAGCTGCAGCGTTACCTTGGCTTGCAGATCACCCGGGACAGAGCCGCTCGCACCATCACACTGACGCAGTCACACATGGTGCAGCAGGTCCTTCGGCAGTTCGACTTCCAGTTCTCCACCACACAGCCCACTCCTCTTGCTGTTGACCACAGACTCACTGGCCCCTTTCCCGACGAGCCTTTTGAGTCCAGTGGTCCTTACGCAGAGCTGGTGGGCTGCCTCATGTACCTGATAACTTGTACTCGGCCGGACCTCGCCTTTCCCCTCAGCGTCCTCTCTCGCTTTGTTGCGACTGGGAGACACCGTCCTGTCCACTGGACAGCTGCTGTGAGGGTGGCGAAGTACCTGGCGACTACATCAGGCATGGGGCTTGTGCTTGGAGGGACTCAGCCAGTGGCGTTGACTGGTCACTGCGACTCTTCCTACGCTGACGACGTGGAGACTCAGCGCTCGACTCAGGGTTACTGCTTCAGTCTGGGAGCTGGTGCTGTGTCGTGGAGGTCTACACGGTCGTCGTCTGTGGCTACTTCCAGTGCAGAGGCAGAGATCTACGCTGGTGCCATGGCGGCACAGGAGCTTCGCTGGTTGACCTTCTTGCTCGCCGACCTTGGTGAGCGGCCTCGCTCTGCACCGACCTTGTACGCTGACAACAAGGCCATGATCCTCCTGTGTCGAGAGCCTCGACTGGAGAGCAGAGTGAAGCATATTGACGTGAGGTACTTCCTCCTGCGAGAGCTGCAGCGACGCGGCCAGGCACGCCTGGACTTTGTGGCCTCAGAGGCCAACACTGCAGACGTCTTCACCAAGGCCTTGGCGCTTGGTGATCACCACAGGTTCTGTGTGCAGTTGGGGCTTGTTGAGGTAGGCCCCCGGTTGCTGTAGTCTTGTTGCTTGCTCTGCTTGTTGTGTTTTCCTATTTATATCCTAGTGAACTCTTGAACTGGCCTTGTGGCCGCTTGCTTGTGCTCGGAATTTGTGTGGTGTCCTTGAGATCCACCCTGAGCTTGTCTTGCCTCGACTGGTCTTGTGACCGTTTGTTTCACCTTGCTTGCCCTGGTGTCCCTCACTTAGCCTATGGGGGTGTGTCAAATGTTAATGTTATGATAGGCTGCAGTGAGGCACTCCCTAGAGGGTACAACATTTGTAGGACTCCTATTTGTATGCTTGCAAACCCTAATCCCAATCATTCCGTTGCATGTAGATTCTGAGATACCCCTGCATGTGAACTGGCCTTGTGGCCCTTTGCTTGTGCTCAGTGTGTGTGGTGACGTTGTGATCCACCCTGAGCTTGCTTTGCTTCTCTTGACTGGTCTTGTGACCCCTTGCTCTCCCCCACTTTGCCTATGGGGGTGTGTCAAAGTATATGCATGCTATATATGTGTAGGCTGTAGTGGGGTAGCCAATATGGGGTACAGCCCCTTTTAGGGTTTCATACTTGTACCCAACTCTTTCATAGTTCAATCATTCCTGCTGCTAGATTCTGACATGATTGGATAACGAGCATGGGGTGAAAACACACTTCGATTATCCACTCGCGCTTGTGACGTGGACAAAAAGCCCGCGAGTTCGAACGGCGCGGCTCGTTCCCTGAGCAACGGGCGAAGAAGCTGTTTAGTGGGGTATTGTGCAGGAAAGATGCGGGAGTCAGTTAGCGGTGGGCGGGAAACTTGTGTCTTAGGATTTGTGACTGACAGAACAAGGCGGAAGAGAAAATAACAACAAGGCGAAACAGAGGGATTGCCGAGTTTGACAGAGGGATTTCGCCAATGAGTTGACGAGATGAATTCCTACCACATTCGCGAGCTCGTGTAGTTGGCGAGAATTTCGACGAGCAAGATGGAGTGGCAGTGTTACATTCGGTGTATTGAAACTTCCGAGCTAAGATAATGGGTTTGTTGAAATCTGAAGTAAACGATTTATGATGACTCTTTACACAAAAATATCATTATAGAGGCTCATCCTCTGTCACCAGCATGCAATTTCATAAATTTTGTGCAGAAACTACTTCTATGGTATATTGACACCTATTGTTGTCAATATTGAGGCGCATGTCAACCGTTACGCCTTATGCTCATTCCCCAGAGGAAATCATATTCTTAAAATAATAAAGAATTCATTAAATGGCAAGAATCAAACCAGCCTTTATATGAAACATTTATTTATAATTTTGTTTTGAAATAATAGGGCCTCTCAAATTTATGAATGCTGAGGATGTAGCTACACCTATCTCAGAATTGCTGTGTTATACACAACAATGTCACAATGCTGTCGTCAATCACTAGGGCTCGTTGACTGCTCTATCCGCGAACTTGTCGATTTCGCAATCCCACAGCCAGTGATGGGGCCCCATTTGTCAAGCTAAACTGTCGGCTGCCTTCGTGGCACCTCCTTCATGACCCTCACCGCTTCAATGTTCCCTCGTACAGTGGGTTTACGGTGGGGGATCCCGTTCCACGTGGCACGTATCGTGTACCTGGAGCAATGAGCGAGCTGACCTCTTTCTCCCCCATGCCGAACAGTTCACCTCGAGTCTTTCATTCCCCTGCTCCCTCCTTCTCGCTCCACGGAATCAAGTAATTTGGTCGAATTCTCACCTAGTTTTGTTACAAGGTCTGAGAGAGTAAATCAGGCTTCACACTTCCTGAGCTGCTGCTCATTCTGACTCTTCGCGAGCCGTCGAAGCAGCATTTTTGAAGGAATTGAAGGAACTCAGCCACGAAAATGGCCGCTTCAATTCAGCTCTCAATGGCGGGGCCAGCTACCGCTCGTCTGGACTCCACCGCAGCTGCTTCAGGCAGCCGCGCATCAGAGTCGTCTGCTGTTGCTCTGAGGACGAGCCTGACCCCTTCTACGCAACGGTCACTTGCGTGCAGACGCTCCGAGGTCGTGGGTCGTTCCCTGGTTCTCGCCGGTGCTTCGGCCGCTGCTGTTCCAGCGTCCCTGTCGTACCGCAGGCTCGGCGTGTTCGCGGCGAAGAGGGTTCAATCGGACCGCTCGCTGGTGCTCAGCTCGACGCTGGAGGTGACTCCAGGCAAGGAAAAGGAAGCGCAGGAGCTGTGCAAGAAGATCTGCTTATGGGCGGAGGAGAAGAAGGTGAGAGAGAGAATCAAATTGTCAGACTTGGCTAATTGTTCCTTGCAGGGAGCATTTTCCATTCTGCTTCGGCATAGGCTTGTCTCTTTTGGAATTACCTTGTGAGTCTGCTGTTCGTGGTAGGGTGTAACGCGGTTGATTTGTTATTTATTTCTCCCATTCCCTTTCCCAGAAGGACCGCGCGAACGGAATCATCCATTTCGAGTGCACAGGCGACGCGTACGAGAGCAATCTGATCCACTTCTGGGAGCGATTCGACTCTTTCCTTTCAATGAACAACATTCACGCGTCGCCAGACTACACTAAGTTCCTTGAAGAGGTCAGTCATTGGCTCCCTCCTGCTCCTCTGACCCCTCCTCTATTCTCGGTTGGCTGCGCGTAGTTCTCAATGCTTTTATGTATGATTCTCCCTTCGTGCCGAAGTCCGACTGCCACCTCATGAAGGTCACCCCTTTCGCTCGTGCTGGTGTCTGCCAAAACAATGCGTGCAGGTACGGCCGCTGCTAGAGGCGCCAGTGAAGCTGGCGGCGTACGAGTACAAGGACGGGCAGATCGGTCACATGCTCAACCCCATTGGTGAGTGCCTGGCTGTCAGGTAACTCTAGTTAGGAGGTACGCCAGGAGTATCGTAGTTTTTTTGCAGCCTTCTATTTGCAACCACCTGTGCAGCTCAGTTGGGCGAGCTCTGCTGGAAGCCGAAATAAGCTGCTGCTGCTGTTGGCCTAACTGCCATGGGATTTGTAATAGACGAAACGCAACAGATTCGCAGCATGGGTGTACAACAGTGCACAAAACCTGCACGCTTCACTAATCAGTGCCTGCTTCTTAAACATCACTAGTAGGTCGACCTTAACTGCTCCACGGCAGTTGTAATAGCATGGAATTCCTTGAGGCACTTAGCCATTCCGTGTTTTTGCTTGTGGAATTGGTTCCCAAGGTTTCAAACGATGTCTCGTATTCCCCAATGTCTCCTCTATGCTCCCACAGGCCCCAAGGGAGAGGGAGGCCTGGACGACGCCACAGGGCAGGGTGGCAGCGGTGGAGGTGCGAGCTACAAGCAGACGTCGCAATCGGTGTCGCAGGGTATTGGCGAGCGTGACGGGTGGGGAATGGCGAACGCGCTCAAGATCTCTGGGCTGCGCAAGGAGGCGAGCGATGAGAAGGAGGCTGTGCGCGCCGAGAATGCGCTCGAGGCCATTGCCAAGAGCCTCAAGAGCCTCTTCGGCCAAAAGTAGCCTGCTCCTTGCCTCCCCTTTTTTGCATGTATCAGTCCTCCATTATTTGAATACTGTAAAATTCAGCAATTTTCCCTAGGGTCCATCATGGCACACTCCTGTCATTAATGCTCTGGTGGTGTCTAAATGCTGTCTCGTACCAATTCTGAGCCAAACTGTTAGTAACAACAACCTGCAGTGCTACTATACTGCATCAAGAGGACTGCAAACGAGGCAACAATCATGTACTAAATACTCCTTTTTAGCTTGCCAATTAGCCTAAATGTGTACACGGATGATAACAACTGTACCTAAGAAGCAAGCTAGCTGGTGTCTACAGCTTGGATTGAGTGCCAGTGTGGTTGCACATGAAGGAGAGAGTCTGGAAGAAGGCAACGAGCATGGGCCTGCGCACATAATCATAGCACCCGGAGATCACTGAGTACAGCTCCCCCAGCGCATCCTGCTGCCACTGCCTCCTCACCCTCTCCTCTGCACTCCCCACAGAGCTCTCCGAACCCCCTGAGACGCCGTGCCCCTGCGGCTGGTGTGCTTTGGTGGAGGGTGAATGGGCCTTGGGTTCTGTGCTGTGGATCCGCCTCTCTGCAGCTGGTGATTCTGTGACTGATTGCTCCATGTGTGCTGACTGCTGCTGCTGCTGTTGCTGCTTCTGTTGCTGCTCTTTCGGCAGGGATTGCGAACGAGGCTTGACAACGTCTTCTCTGCTACGCTCATCCTTGTGTGTGGCTGCAGGCTGTGACTGTGGAGAGTGTGATTGAGTAGATGGAGGCGGTACAGGGTGGATAGCCACCAGGGTTGATGCCACCTCTTGCAATAACAAAGGAAGAACCTGCCATGTGGAGGTGGATAGTGGGTAACGATGGGTTAGAAAAGCAACTGGTATGTACGTGTAGAAGATGCACAACAGAAGAATTGGGTGTATTTGCCAGCAAGGGGAGTGACGCGGCATGGAAGAGACGGGGTTGCTGGCACTCGCACAATCCAGCAGAGCAGAATTAGTGAGCTGCACTTCAACAAAGTTATTGGAATGCGTTTCAAATGGATTACTGGCCCGGGTTCTCGCAGGGTTATTGATCTGCGTGTTAACAGGTTCTTAGGTTGACTGACCTGCACATCCACAATTGGAATGAGATGAAGCAGCAGCTGCAGCAACTGGCGCCATCCATCAGGGTCACCCACTTGCACCGCACTCCCACCATCTGCACCCTTCTGCTCCAACATACCCCTCACACCTCCTGCTGCCGCCTCTCCGTGTGCAGCCTCCCCTTCAAACCCACCCTGCTCATTCCCCATCTCCCCCTGCCCCCGTCTCGGCTGCACACCCTCACCTTGTCGCCCATCCCCATCGCTCCCCACTCTCTCTGCCTCCATTCCATCCACACTCGGCAAGATGTTGGCCTCACTCCCTTCCCTTCTCTCTGCAGCAGCAGCAGTAGAGCCAGCAGCAGCAGCAGCAGTAGCAGCAGCAGCGGAATCAATGAGGCAGAGCACGCGGCGGGACAAGAGGCGGAAGCACAGCACAGTGACCGGGCGCCCAGGGGGGAGGCAGCGAGCAATGGATCCAAGGCCTTGGCGAAAGGCATCGAAAGGCGTGATGGCAGGGAAGCACTGGAGGAGGGGGAAGAGAGGGAAGGGGGGAGAGCGAACGGGAGGGGAGGGGAGGGCCAAGCCACGTTGAAGGATTCAAGGGGCTGATTTTCGTATTGCTGTGGGGGAGAGAGCATGTGTAGTAGAGGGAACACGGCACAGGCACAGGGAGGTGGGTGGGAATGCTCTAGAGGTTCTTCTCATGTGTTGGTACCCCTGCCCTGTATCACGCCTGCCAGCCCCACAGGCTTACCTTGACTGACTCTTCCACATACGCCAGCGCCACTCCTTCTATCTCCTCCAACACCCGCTCCCGCTCTTTTTGCTGCTGCTGCTGCTCTTGCTGCTGTTTCTGCGGCTGCTGCTCCGCGCTCCCCTCCCTGCTGTCAGCACCACTGTGCCCCTCATTGCCACTCTCCCCCTGCGCCGCACCACGCAATGTACCTGCGCTGCTGCTTGCAGAAATCTCAACACTCTCTCTCGCACCCCCAGATGCGCCGCTGATTGCCCCACTCTTGCCCGTGCTGGTGAGATGAGAGAAGGCGCCGGGCGTTTTGGTACGGAAGAGGAGGTTAGGAAGAGCGGAGAAGATGGACGAAGGAGGGCTGGGCGCGGGGTGAGGAGGGTGCGGAGGGGGGTAAGCGAGGAGGAGAAGGGAGTCGGTGTGGAGGGAGAGGAAGGAGGCGAGGAGAGTGTGGGCGGCGGAGCACAGATTGGGCTGTGGATGGGAGAGATGCCTGGGGGAGGGGGATGGGCGGATACAGGGGACGGTCACGGAGGTTGGGCAGAGAGGGAGTGGGGTTGTGGTCGGACAAGGAGCAGGGGGGGCGGATGGGTGACACTGACACACACGGGTGACACTGACACACACGGGTGACACTGACACACACGGGTGACACTGACACACACGGGTGACACTGACACACACGGGTGACACTGACACACACGGGTGACACTGACACACACGGGTGACACTGACACACACGGGTGACACTGACACACACGGGTGACACTGACACACACGGGTGACACTGACACACACGGGTGACACTGACACACACGGGTGACACTGACACACACGGGTGACACTGACAAACACGGGTGACACTGACACACACGGGTGACACTGACACACACGGGTGACACTGACACACACGGGTGACACTGACACACAGGGGTGACACTGACACACACGGGTGACACTGACACACACGGGTGACACTGACACACACGGGTGACACTGACACACACGGGTGACACTGACACACACGGGTGACACTGACACACACGGGTGACACTGACACACACGGGTGACACTGACACACACGGGTGACACTGACACACACGGGTGAGAGAGAGGTACATGCGGCCCTGTGCGGCCCAGTGCATGGCGGCGACAAGGGAATGCCGACACTCAACATCTCACAGGAAAGACCTTTCAGGCGTCTCGGAAATATGTGCGAGTGCACACAACGGCAAAGGAGCGCGGACACAGAGCACAGGGTGCTGGACTGTGCTAGCTAGCATCAAACAATGGTGGTGTGTTGTCACTCTTGAAAGTGCTCACATGACAATGAGTGGTGCCAAGCGGTGCAGGAAGAGGCGCAGGGGCAGGCGCGGCAGGGCAGCGGGCAGAGCCCGGAAGAGGAAGAGCAGTGCGGAGGAGGCAGCAGGGTCGTGCTGCCAGTGGTACGCGCGCGGGGGAGGGGATAGAGACGCAAGCACTGGCAGCACGGAGCCTGGTGGGGGGGTGTTGAGGGGGGCGGGGCGGGGGGAGGGGAGGAGGGCAGGGTGAGTAGAAGAGTTTAGTAGGATGAGTAAGTGGAGGCCGGGGGAAGTATCCTGGGATGATAGGCTGCTGCCTTGCTACCTTGCTGCCTCTCTCCCTTGCCTCACCTCTTCCTCGAGCCACCAGCTGGGTTGTCGGCAGGCACAAGCATAGATCACTCGCCGTCCTCTCCCCTCTCCCATCCTCTCCCATCTCCTCCACCCCACGTCCACTCCCCCCACCCTTCTTTCTCAACCCCTTCAACCCCCCGGCCCTCCCACCGCCTCCACTTCTCCTTGCGTCTCCCTCCTCCCCCTCTTTGACCGCATCCACACTCGCTGCTACAAGGTCCGGAAAGAGTTGACCAACGTTGACTCGTGAGAAGTCAAGCCAGGCCAAGCTGGTCAACGCCTCCACTGCCACTCTTCTCTGCACGTCCCTCCATGCCCATGCCACCACTCCCATTTCCCTTGCCGAATCAACTCCGCCCTCCACCCCGCTTCTGCCATTCCATTCCCTTTCTCCATCTTCCCCGTTCCTCCCCGCGACCTCATTCCCTTCATCAGCAACGTCACACACCCTGTCGCCTACTCTCATTTCTGCCGCAGACACTGTAGCTTCTGTTGGGACTGATGCTGCTGCAGGCGCTGCTGCAGCCGTCCTTGCCAGCCTCGCATCTATGAGTGACTCGTCCTCCTCCTCCTCCCCGTCCTCCTCCTCCTTTGCAGTAAGTGCTGCCACGGTGCTGCTGATGCTCGACAGCACAACGCACGTCGCTGCAAACGCACCAGCCCTCACCGTCGTTGCTGCCTCTGCTGCTCTCTGCAACAACACAAGGTCAGACGCCTGCCCGGGCTTGATGCTGATGCTGCTGACACGGCTATTACTCCCTGCTACTCCATTCCTTCCTGATCCAGCAGCCGTAGCACCAGCTGCTGCTGCTTCTGCTGAAGCGGTGGCAAGAGTGTGCAGGGACGCAGCAAACATGCGATGGGAGCAGTTGAGAGAGAGGGAGAAGCGTGTGAGGGTGTGTGCCAGGGAGACGAGTGTTGCGCGGTGGGTCAGGGGAACGACGGGAGGAAGAGGAGGAGGAGGGGCCGGGAAGGGCACAAGGGATTCGGCTGAAATTGCAGCACTTGCAGAACGCCTACGCCCTCCTTTGCTTCCAGACCCTGCTGCTGCCTTCAACCCTTTCTCCTCTCCTCCTCCTCCTCCTGCTCCGGCCTCTCCTGCTCCTCTCCCAACATCAGCAGAAGCAGCAGCAGCAGCAACAACGGGTTCCATGGCCTTCACAGCAGCAGTGTGCAGAGCAGCCAGGCCGTGAGAGCCCTCCACCAGGTCACACACACAGCGCGCCATCGCCCCTGCCTGCTGCATCCACGGCCCTTCCACCCACAGCGGCAGCGCTGCCACCACCTGCCTGCTCGCTGCTGGAGTATACCCCTCCACCCCTTCCAACCCATTCAAAATCTTCACCACCTCCAACCCCTCCGAATACCTTTGTGGTCCACTGGCTTGTGTATGTGCTTGAGCGTGTACTAGTGCGTGAGCTGGTGCCTGTGCTGCCTGCGCTTGTGCATTCAAATGGCTCTCTGCATCTGTGTGTGCGTGCAGCGCAAGGCAAGCAGCAGCAGCATGCCACGGTCCGAGCTGCAGGCAGTCAGACAGCACAGCAGCGGCCATGCACTCTAGTGCCGCACCATCCATGCCATCCCCAGCCCCGTTCACAGCACACACAGTCATGAGGCCGGGCCTGCCCCCTGCCATGACCTGACACAGGGAGAATGCCACTGCTCTCAGGAACACAACAGCTGCCCACTGCTGCTGCCTGCTACTACTGCCACTGTCGCTGCTGCTCATTCTGCTGCTGCTGCTGCTGCTGCTGCTGCTGCTGCTCTGTCCATCTGCAGGAGCAGCAGCAGCAGCAGCAGCAACAAGCAGAGGTACCTGGGTCCAACACAGGTCACGAGGAAGGCCTGCAGGAGACACAGCATCCACCCCTTCGCCTACCCACCCCCTCGTCCCTTCCGCCCCTGCACCTGCCTCCAATCTTCTCTGCTCCTGGCCCCGGGGTTGTGTGGAGTGGGCGAGAGTGGAGCGAGCAAGATAGGGGGGAGTGAGAGTGGAGAAGGAGGGGGAGGAGGCGGGCTGGGGGCAGGCGGAGCGGGCAGCGGAGAGCAGGAGGTGTTCCAGGGCGCAGAGGGCAGGGAAGATCTCCGGGCTGTACGCGCCTATCACACTGGCTAGCAGCTGGGCGGAGGGGGATGCTGCACTGCTGCTCTCACTGCGCCCCTTGCTTCTGCCGCCGCTGCCGCTGCTGCTGCTCCTGCTGCTGCTGGTGTTGTCTCTGCTGCTTCTCCACCGGCCCCGCGCCTCTGCCTCTGCCTGTGCCTGTGCCTGTGCCTGGGCAGCAGCAACAGCAGCAGCTGCTTCTGCAGCATCTAGGGCTGCTGGGCCGTCCTTCCCCACGGCCTGTTTGAGAGCATGGGGGCGTTGCACCGAGAGGTGGTGGTAGCGCGCAGCAAACAGACCCCTTAGGATACCGCTCACACACAGCACTGCCACTGGCGCACTCAGGGGGATGCGAGGCAGGGGAACGGATGGATGGGTGGAGGAGGGCAGGGCTGCCGCGAGCACTGAGTGGAGGGAGAAGAGGAGAGAGGCTGCTTGTGCGGGTGGGAGCAGCACGGAAGTGCGAGCAGTGACGAACTCAAGGCACCGTACCACTGCTGACCACAGGGGTACGTCCGGACCCACCAGCACCGCTGCTGCTGCTGCTGCTACTGATGTGGCTCCTGCTGTTTGCAGCGGTGCAGGCTTGAAGGCCAGAGGCCAGAGGCAGAGGAGGGACGAAAGAAGCGCAGGGAAGGACATGGACGGCGGTTCTGATGCCAAGGGAGGAGGAAGAGGTGGGGATGGGAGCGGGGTAGAGAGTGCGCCGGGAGGTGGGGAATGGGTGGTAGAGGTGGGGGTGGGAATGGGTGCAGGAGAGGGGCTGTGGAAGGGAGGAGGGGAGGGAGTGAGAGTGCATGAGAGCATGGCATAGCCCATGCCGGCAAGGGCCTCCTTGAAGCCGCAATGCACAATGGCGTGCGGGCAGTGGCGCATGGCGGTGTGCAGTGATGCCACCATGCCGTGCACTAGCTCATGCCTTGCACTGCTTTGTGCCTCACTCTCCTGCATTGGCAGCGGCGGCGGCGGCTGTGCCATGCAGTGGCAAGAAACGCCAAGAAGGTACACTGCGGCTGACACACACCCTCCCGCTGCCACCTCGTCTCCTTGTCCCCATGCATCCCGCACACCGTCATCCTGCGCTCTGCCAACGACCGCACGAGCCGCGTCGATACCGCCACTGATCACCCGCCACTGCGCGCCACTGACGCCATGAAATCCGCCCACCCCGCTACCTCCTCCTGCTTCTCCTCGCTCTCCTCTCTCTCCTGCCTCTCCTCCTGCAACCGTGCTGCCCTGAACGTTCCCCGGCCTCTTAACCGCAGCAGCCTGCTGCCGCACTTTCCTGATCCACGCCCCCACAACCAGCAAGCAGCTCGCCGCGATCTCCGCCGCGATTCCAGGCGCTCCTGCTTCTTCAGAGGCGAATATGTCCACATTCACCGTTTTTCGCGCGACGAGCCGCGTCAGCAGCTCGACCAGACACGCGGCCTGGGCATCCCGAGCCGCGAGGATGACGCGCAGCCGCCGCAAGAGCGTCAAATGCGGGCGCAGGGCGACGAGCTGGTCACGCGTCAGCTGTGAAGCCGGCGACGCAGCTGAATCCCCCGCGGAATCCGCCGCACCAGCCGCGGCATGGTGTACGGATTTCCACGCGGCGGCGATAGCCGTTGGAGAGAAAGCCGAGGCGGCGGCGGAAGGAGGGGGGGGCGAGAGCAAGGCATCGTCGGAAGGACCGAGCGCGGACTCCAAGGGGAAGAGCACGTCCATTGCGGGCGATTAGACGATGCTCACATGGTTGTGGCGCGCCTCGCAGGACAAACGACGTGAGAGGAAGGAAGAACCTGAGCGCGAGAAATGGATTACCTGCGCCTCAGCACTGACATGAGCTTTTTATCACCAATTTTCTCCCTGGAAGCATTGGGTGCAAGCATTGAAAATAAAAAACAATTGTTGCATTTCACCAAGCTGTATAAGAGTTTGGATATCACGGCTGTAAGATAAACTGTATAGCCCACAATGATATCTCATGTAAGATAAACTATATTTGTTCGTCAGTTTCGAGGGCCTCGTCTTTGTCACTTTTCCGAAACGCGTTGGTTCTTATTGGTTGGAATTCCCCCACCAGCCCCTGTTCCGAAGCGCCCGATACTGTAGGGCACGTCAACCTGGGAGCAACAAACTGCCACCATCACCAGTTTCCCAACCAGCCAACCCAACCCAACCTAGCCTAACCCATCCTAGTCCCTCGAGCTAGCCGTATCTGCTTGCTTGCAATGGTGTTTGTACCCCTTTCTTCTATACCCCTTACTCCCGACTTGGCAGTTCAACCAGCACGAGTACTATCGGTTTCCTAGGTCCGACAGGTAATGACAATGGTCCTCTCGCAATCCCAATTCCTTGTTTCCAATTTCCCAGTAGCGGTTTCGCTGGATGTAAGCATTATATCGGTTTAATGTCAGTTATAGTTCCTCCAATACCGGTTTAATGTCAGTTATAGTTTCGGGCATTTCTATATCAATGTTGCGCTCGCACGCCGTGTCCAACTGCCACTAGTAATAGTACTCCCACCAGCCGCGTGTGGCCCTGTCGCATTAGCGTGCTGCCCTCTCGACCATGCTCGCATCGCAACGGGTTCCCCATAATCACCAAATGACGCCACTTTTCAGTCGCAGAATACGAGGGAAAGCGCGACTCGCCATCTGCTCCCTCGTGTGTACGACCCTCGCGTGCTTCGTCGCCGCCTGCTGCGGCCGCGTCGAGGGCGCGGCGGCGGCGCAGGGTGGCGACCGCCTGCCGCGCCTGATTCTGCTGCAGAACAATACCTTCGGCGCTAGATGCCTCGACGGCAGGTGCGCTAGGCTGGCAAATGCCCGCCCTCGCGTGGGCTCGTAGCGACACCTACACACAATGCGAATACCATTCGATAACTCAAACAAACAATGCTCACTCCACAAGCAAGAAATCTTCTCGCTCCAGCTGCCTCCTTCTCTCCCATTTTACTTTCTCTTTCTCACTCTTATCTCCCCCAAGAGCAGTCCTCCCGGGTACTACTTCCGCCCAGGAGCGCGCGCGGGGGTGCGCAAGTGGGTGGTGCACTTGCGCGGCGGAGCCTGGTGCACCTCTCCGCTCGCATGCGCCTGGCGGGCCAGGGGCATGCTCGGATCTTCGCGCGAATTGCCGCGCTCCCCCAAGGTGCGCACTCGTTTCCCGCCGCGCTTCATCTTTCCGCCGCCCGTAGCGCCCTCCCTTCCGCAAATACCTCCGCCCAATGGCGTTTCTCCTCTTCCCCGCCACTCCCCCGGCCACCACTCCCCCCATCCCCCCCCGCTCTCCCCCTTTCCGCAGGACCCGCAGATCTCCGAGTCCCTGGGCGGGATCTTGAGCGCGGATCCGCGGGAGAATCCCGGGTTCGCGGAGTGGAGCCTGGCGGTGCTGAACTACTGCGACGGCGGGGGCTTCGCGGGGACGGCGGGGCGGAAGCTGGTCACTGGCGTGCCGGAGGGTTGGTACCCGCCCCAGGCGCCTCGTCGTGATAGTGCCGATAGTAGCGCTGGCAGCAGGGGCACGAGCAACGGCGGTGCCTTTTTCCCTGGAAGTGTCAGCAATAACGGAGGAGGCGGCGGCAGCGGAGGCGGCGGAGGAGGCGGAGGAGGCGGAGGAGGCGGAGGAGGCGAGGGAGGCGGGGGAGGCGCCAGTGGTAGCGGGCGGAAGGGTTTTTTCGGGCACCAACGCGCTGGTGGTAACAATAGCGACACTGCCCACCGCATCCACAACGGCAGCATCAGCAGTGTGGAAGGCATGAGCAGCAGAGGGCGCAGCCTAGAAGCCAGTGGAGGGCGCAGTGGGGCGGCGAGTGTGGGGGGGTATGGGTCGGGGACGGTGACCAAGGAGGTGTATCTGGATGGGTACAATATCGTCAGCGCATTCATGGCAGGTGCGACACTGCTGCCACCTGTGCTGCTGCCAGCAGCACGCGCTGCCATCTGCGTGTGCTGCTACCACATGCACCCCCTTTACTCTCTCTAATCCCCTTCGTCCCCACCCGTTCTTCCCCCTTTCCCCCCTTGCGCGGGCAGACCTGGTGCACAGCAGGGGCATGGGGGGCGCCACGCACGTGCTGGTGTCGGGGTGCTCTGCGGGCGCACAGGCCGTCATGGCCGTCTGCGACCGCTTCAAGCTCCTGCTGCCACGTGCCTCCGTCAAATGCCTCATGGATGGCGGCATGTTCCTTGGTACGCGCCGATAGCATGCTCAGTTGAAGTCAACGAAGCAATCAGAGCATACGCTGCCTCTCTGGCAGCATGCTGCTCTTGAAATGACTTCAGCCCATCTCGAGAAGGGCTTGGATGTGCCAATCGCATGCTCAGTATAGTGTCCCCTCGTGTGGGTGGGTGTGTGGGTGGGTGCAGATGCACGGGGCAGGAAGGGCAGGCGGCCAATGAGATCGCAAGTGCGAAAAGTGGTGGGCTTGCATGCCATGCGCCTCAACTCCAACTGCATCGCAGGTCCACTTCAATTCACAAGCCCCTCAACAAATTTATTCAATTCCAACATTTCCTGCTGCACCACCCTATTCCGCCCAATCTACCAACCTCCCACCCTTCCCTCCCTCCCTCCCTCGCTTCCCCTTTCTGCATCGGCCCCCACATTATCCCACTCAACCTCCCTTCTCTCACCTCCCCTCTCCCACTCCACACCAGATTTTCAGCCGTCCAAGCGGTGGCGGTGTTTTTTCCCGCAGCACGCGCTGTCACGCATGGCCGCGCCCGTGTTCCTCGTGAACAGCCTCTTTGACCAGATCGCTCTCTCTCTGGGCGGCCAACTGGACTCTCTCAACCGCACCCACACCTCCTCCTGCATCTGGGCCATTCTGAGAGCCCGTAGAGACATTCAGCGCATGGTTCTGTCCAAGGGGTCCGTCCGGAGGCAGTTTTGGGCACGGGGAGCGCCGCAATGGTGTGGGGTGAGGGAGGAGGGTGCGGTGGTGAGTGCGGCGTTTGACACGTTTAAGTATGTGAGGGATGTGGTGCAGGCGAGGAGGGGCTTCGGAGCGTTTATTCTGGCAAAGAGGCCGTGGCATTGCAGTACCACGTCGTTTTTATGGTCGGTAGCAGCAGTCAATGGGGTGAAGCTCAATCAAGCTGTCCTCAAATGGATCATGGGCATAGGAAACAGGAATTTCTATATCTAAAACTAACCCTGTATAGTCAGAAATATATACTGGTCTATAGTTTACAAATAACAACAATTATAATAAACGAAGCCAGATAGGACTTGTAAAACTCACTGCATCTTGGCTCTCACACATCAGACCACAACCCACATGGAAACACCTAGTTATGGAAACATTTCAGGAGAAACCCCCACTGGGAAGATGTGCTTGGACAAAAGGAATACTTGTTAGGGATGATAAATGCTAGGAACCCCTGCTACAGGAACCCGTTTACGAACTGCAGTCGGCCATTCCTGTTGGGAACTGATGTTGGAAACCATCTGAGAATTCTTAGAGATGGAATTCGCTTTCAAAGAGGAGGGGGTTGGGGAGGAGGGGGGATCGTATCGCGGGAATAATTTGAAGGTAACGTTGATAAGTAAATGCAAAACTAGTGAGATATGTTCTGCAGCTAAAGGTCACGAACGATAAAAGTGCGGCATCGAGGTCCGAGTATTGTATAACGAGTCAATTTCCTCATTCCTGTCTGCGCGCCAATGTCCGAGATTCGTGCGTTTCTTTTGCATTGCATGCCACTGTATCACTCACGCACTGTTCACCAATCCTCGGACCAGGGCTGGCTAGTCGTATTTCCCCGACTATCTCTTTAGTCGTTCTCTCTCGCTTCGTTTCCGCGATCGCATATTTCGCCCCGCAGTTTACTACTGTCTTCTCTAGTCTCGCCCGTTACCGCTTACGTCATGGCTGCACCAGAAGCGGAGGCAGCCGCGCCGGCTGCACCGGCGGCGGCGCCGGGGTCCGTGGACACGTCGGCGCAGCTAGCGGCGCTGCGCGCGCTGATGGCGAAGTACGAGGGCGGCGCGCTTGCGGCTTACATCGTGCCGTCGGAAGATGCGCACCAGGTGAGAGCGCGAGCAGACTCAGAGTTAATCAGATCAATATAACTAATTGTATCGAATGCTGGATAATTAATTGGATAAATCATTGCCGTTTTTTAGGGAATGATATTCCCGTCAGCGCGCCATCAATTTTGTACAGTGATTTCTTAACCTTCCACCCCATCTCCCTTCCCCCCCGCCGTGTCTTGCTCTCCTTCTCGCTTTCCTCACTCCCTCCGCCCTTTTTTTTTTTTTTTTTTTTTTTTTTTTCGGCCCGCTCGGATTGCGGATGGCCTTTCTCGGGTATCGCTTGCGCGTTGCTCATTGCGCGTGCTGTTGCCTCGCGCGCGTTGCGACCCGCGCGTGGGCAGAGCGAGTACGTGGCGGAGTGCGACCAGCGCCGCACGTTCATCTCCGGGTTCTCAGGATCCGCAGGTGAGCCCGCACGCCGCCATGCCGCCATGCCGCCATGCCGCCATGCCGTCACGCTGCTTTGCGATTCTCTTCAATTCACTGTTCTCCCTCACCCCCTCTCCTGCGATCACCTTTCCCTAACATTGCGCAACCCCTCACGATGCGCGCACTCTCCGCTCCGCGCCTCACGCGCCCCGCCACGTGGCAGGCATAGCGGTGGTGACGGCGACGGAGGCGCTGCTGTGGACGGACGGGCGCTACTTCCTGCAGGCGGCAACGCAGCTCAGCAGCGACTGGAGCCTCTGCAAGTCCGGCACGCTCGAAAGTTGGATCGCCACGGTTCGCCGCCTCCCCCATTCCCTCTCCGCCTACCCCTCTTCCGCTTGCTTTCTGCGTACTCCACTTCCGCATGACCATGTGCCCCTTTGTCCCCCCCAGTCCTCCATGCAACCCTTCTCGCCCCCCTGCTTCTTGCCCCTTGCTGCTGCACCCTGTGTCCCTCCCTGCTCCTCTCCAGCCCACCTCCTGCCCTGCCCCCACGTCCCCCTCCTGCGCCTTTCCCTGCCCCATCCCCCGTCTTCTCCCCATCCTGGCAGAACTTGCCGCGGGGGGCGAGAGTGGGAGTGGATGCGTCAACGCTGTCTATTGATGCAGCCCGGCGCATCACCCACGAGCTTGACAAGGCTGCTCAGCACCTCGTGCTCGTCAGTCACACACTCGCATGCTCACATGCTCACATGCTCACATGCTCGTGCACTCTGCTCGTCGCATTCTTAGCACAAGTTTGAATAAGCCCTCGACTATAATTTGCTGCACGTCCTGCTCTCTCCGTCCCCCCTCCGTCTGAGCCCCTCCCCCCTTCTCGTCCACTTCATTTCACCTTCCCCTCTCCTCCTCTTTCCCTTGTCCTCCCAACCCCCTCCACCGTTCCCCTTTTCCCCTCCCCCCTGGCCGTTCCCCCCTCTCTCCCCTTTGCCCCTCTTCTCCCCCTCCCACCCCTCTCCCCCATCCCCCTATGCGCAGACCCCCACGAATCTGGTGGACGAGGTGTGGGGCGCGGTGCGCCCACTGCCCCCCAGCGAGCCAGTGCGCGTGCACCCGGTGAAGTTCTCCGGGCGGGCCGTGGCGGACAAGCTGGCGTGGGCGCGGCGCAAGATGCACGAGGAGGGCGTGCGCGCGCTCGTGGTAACAGCGCTGGACGAGGCCATGTGGCTGTTGAATGTGCGCGGGGCGGATGTGCCGTTTAACCCTGTTGTGCTGAGCTATGTGGTGCTGACGCGGGATGATGCCACGCTCTATGTGGACGGCAAGAAGGTCACTGATGAGGTGCTGTGCGGTGGGGAGAGGTGGAGGGAGGGGGGGGCAGGGGGGTGCCAGGGGGAGAGGTGGAGGAGAGGGGTATGGTTGGGGATGAGGGGGAAGGAAGGGGAAGAGAGGTTGGATGGAGGATGGACGTGAGTATTTTTTCACTGGGTGGTGGTTCTACTTACTACTACCACGGGGACATTGCACTGGGTACCATGGGCATGCGCCGTCTTGCTTCCACCTATACCCACTACCACTGTGCGAGCGGTGCCAGCGCATCTGAAGAGCGAGGGCGTGCACGTGAAGGAATATGACGAGCAAAGGCTTTCTGCACTCACGCCTTGCTCTTCCTTCACCTCGCTCGCTCGTCCCTTCCCACCTTTTCCCCTCTTGCTTCCCACCAACACTCCCACCGCTACTATGCATGCAGGTGGCAGCGCATCTGAAGAGCGAGGGCGTGCACGTGAAGGATTACAACACTATCCTCCCCGGCCTCCATACTCTTGCTGCTACCCTCGCCGCTGCTGCTGCTGCTGCTGCTGACAAGGAGAAGGCTGGAGGGAAGGAAGGGGAGAAAACGGAGGGGAATGCAAAGGAGGGAGGGAAGGAGGTGGTAATGGAGGAAGCGAAGGGGGACGGGAAGGATGCGAAGGCAGAAGCAGGGAGCAAGAAGGCAGGCGAAGGGAGCAAGAAAGCAGGCAAGGAAGGCGGCAAGGAGGCAGGGAAGGAAAAGCCTGGGTACAGTGTGTGGCTGTCCCCTGCAACGTGCTCGTACGCGGTGTACGAGGCAGTGAGCAAGCACCTGCCCGCACAGCACGTGCTGCTGCAGCAGTCGCCCATCGCCCTGGAAAAGGCCATCAAGGTGGGGTGCGGTGGGGTGCGGTCGTTCATGAGCGTGAGGGGAGTTGAATGAGGGTGGTGTAGAGTGGTGGCGATGAGTGAAGGTGGGGAATGAATGATTGTTGTGAAGGGGAGGGAGGGAGGTGTTGAGTAGTGATGTACGGGTCGTTGCTCATTGGAAGATCTCTTTATGCATGCCAGGTGAAACAGTCTTGCACTCACCTCATGCTCCCTCCCCTCTCTCCCCCCTCCCCTCTCTCCACGTTTCCCTTCTCCCCTCATCTCTCCCCTTCCCTCGTCCCTCACCTCTTTCCCCTCCCTCTCACCTCCCATCTCTGCTCTGCTGTCTCGTGTCTCCCCCCTATCGCGCCCCCATGTCTCTCACGCCACGCCACACCACACCACGCCACGCCACGCCACGCCACGCCTGACTATGCTGCACGCGTGCGGCATCAGAACGAGGTGGAGCTGGCGGGGCTGCGTGCGTGCCATGTGCGCGACGGGGTGGCACTCGTGCGCTTCCTCGCATGGCTCGACCACCAGGTGCTGCTGGGGGGAGGGGGGGGGGAGGGGGGGCAATTATGAGTGGGGATGGAACTCACGGGGTTTGGGACAGCACGGGGGCGGGGGAGGATGCACGGGGTGGCACTCGTGCGCTTCCTCGCTTGGCTCGACCACCAGGTGCTGCTAGGGGGGGTGGGGGGAGAGAGGGGGATTACAGGAAGCGATGGGCCAGGACAGGGGAGGCAGGTGGGAGGCGGGGTAAGGGGGGCGCAAGGGGGGGCGAGTGGGTGGTGTCGGTTCCTGACAGGGAAACACTGGGTTTGGGACAGCAAGGGGAGAGGGGTGAGGGGAGGGGAGGGGAGGGGAGCGTAGGGCAAGTTGTGATGCATGGCTCTGACTGAGTGTGTGCTGTTATACGTGCTGTTGTGTGACGGCACGTGTGGTGTGTGTGTATGGCAGATGAGGGAGCAGCAGGCAGCGCCGGGGTACTTCAAGGAGCGCGTGGAAGCTGCGGGCAGCAAGCGCAAGCGCTCGTGAGTTGTGCTGCCCTGTGCTGCTCTGTGCTGCTCTGTGCTGCTCTGTGCTGCTCTGTGCTGCTCTGTGCTGCTCTGTGCTGCTCTGTGCTGCTCTGTGCTGCCCTGTGCTGCTCTGTGCTGCTCTGTGCTGCTCTGTGCTGCTCTGTGCTGCCCTGTGCTGCCCTGTGCTGCTCTGTGCTGCTCTGTGCTGCTCTGTGCTGCTCTGTGCTGCTCTGTGCTGCCCTGTGCTGCTCTGTGCTGATCTGTGCTGCCCTGCGCTGCTCTGTGCTGCTCTGTGCTGCTCTGTGCTGCTCTGTGCTGCTCTGTGCTGCCCTGTGCTGCTCTGTGCTGCTCTGTGCTGCTCTGTGCTGCTCTGTGCTGCTCTGTGCTGCTCTGTGCTGCCCTGTGCTGCTCTGTGCTGATCTGTGCTGCCCTGCGCTGCTCTGTGCTGCTCTGTGCTGCTCTGTGCTGCTCTGTGCTGCTCTGTGCTGCTCTGTGCTGCTCTGTGCTGCTCTGTGCTGCTCTGTGCTGCCCTGTGCTGCTCTGTGCTGCTCTGTGCTGCTCTGTGCTGCTCTGTGCTGCTCTGTGCTGCTCTGTGCTGCCCTGTGCTGCTCTGTGCTGATCTGTGCTGCCCTGCGCTGCTCTGTGCTGCTCTGTGCTGCTCTGTGCTGCTCTGTGCTGCTCTGTGCTGCCCTGTGCTGCCCTGTGCTGCTCTGTGCTGCTCTGTGCTGCTCTGTGCTGCTCTGTGCTGCTCTGTGCTGCTCTGTGCTGCTCTGTGCTGCTCTGTGCTGCTCTGTGCTGCCCTGTGCTGCTCTGTGCTGCTCTGTGCTGTTCTGTGCTGCTCTGTGCTGCTCTGTACTGCTCTGTGCTGCCCTGTGCTGCTCTGTGCTGCTCTGTGCTGCTCTGTGCTGCTCTGTGCTGCTCTGTGCTGCTCTGTGCTGCCCTGTGCTGCTCTGTGCTGATCTGTGCTGCCCTGCGCTGATCTGTGCTGATCTGTGCTGCCCTGCGCTGCTCTGTGCTGCTCTGTGCTGCCCTGTGCTGCTCTGTGCTGCTCTGTGCTTCTCTGTGCTGCTCTGTGCTGCTCTGTGCTGCTCTGTGCTGCTCTGTGCTGCTCTGTGCTGCCCTGTGCTGCCCTGTGCTGCTCTGTGCTGCTCTGTGCTGCCCTGTGCTGCTCTGTGCTGCTCTGTGCTGCCCTGTGCTGCTCTGTGCTGCTCTGTGCTGCTTGTTCGCACCATTTGCTGTGCCACGACGTATTGTTGTGGCATCTGACCACTCGCACCCTAATCACGATGTATCTGACCTACGCCTTGCTGCATTTCTTTCTATGCCCACGCTCATCCGTCCCTCTTCTCCGGTCTCCCTCCCCTCTGCCCTTTCTCCTGCCTCCTTCCTTCCCCTTCCCCTCCGTCTCTTCTCCCTCCATTCCCCTATGTGCAGTCTCGCCACTCCCACTCGGCGCAGCACCAGGATTGCGAGGGGGTCTGGTGGGGAAGGGGAGGAAAAGAGTGTGGTTACTAGCGAGGTGAAGGCGAAGGGTAGGGGGCGAGGGAGGGGGAAGAAGGTAGAGGAGAAGGAGAAAGAGGAGGAGGAGAAGGAGGAGGAGAAGGAAAATGAGGAGGAGAAGGAGAAGGAGAAGGAGAAGGAGAAGGAGAAGGAGAAGGAGAAGGATGAAGAGATGAAAGATGTGAATGATGCAGAAGGGGAGAAGAAGGGCGAGGAGGGTAAGGGTGAGAAGGAAGGGGAGAAGGAAGGCAAGAAGGAGGGGGGGAAGGAAGAGAAGATGGAAGTTGAGAAGGAAGGGGAGAAGGAAGGCAAAAAAGAAGAGGACAGCAAGAAGGAAGAAGAGAAGGAAACCAAAAAGGAAGGGGAGAAGGAAATTAAAAAGGAAGAGGAGAAGGAAATTAAAAAGGAAGTGGAGAAGGAAATTAAAAAGGAAGAGGAGAAGGAAATTAAAAAGGAAGAGGAGAAGGAAATTAAAAAGGAAGAGAAGGAAATTAAAAAGGAAGAGAAGGAAATTAAAAAGGAAGAGAAGGAAATTAAAAAGGAAGAGGGGAAGGAAAAGGAAATGGAAGTCGAGAAAGAAAGCGAGAAGCAAGGGGAGAAAGAAGGCAAGAAGGAAGGCGAGGAGGAAGGGAAGAAGGCAGGGGAGAAGGAAGGGAAGAAGGAAGGGGAGAAGGAGGAGGAGAAGGAAGACGGACCTGTGGCACTGACAGAGTGCAGTGTGGCGGATAAGCTGCTGGCGTTCCGACAGGAGCAGGAGGTGAGGCGCTGTGCATTGCCCTTGTGTGCCGTGGCGCATGTTTCAGGCAGCGATTCATCAAGCACCCATGTATCAACTCGCCTACACCATGCAACATGCCCTACACCCGCAGCACTACATGGGGCCGGCATCCACCACCATAGCAGCATTTATCCATTCATTCACTGCGGCTCAAAAACACTATCCAATATGCCACCTCCTGGCTCTACCCCTCTCCCGCTCCCGCCCCCCCCCCACAGCACTTCATGGGGCCATCATTCGCCACCATATCATCGGTGGGCGCCAACGCTGCCATCATCCACTACAAGCCGGAGCTCGACACGTGTGCTGCTCTCACCGCCTCGCACATCTTCCTCTGCGACTCGGGCGGGCAGGTAAGCATCCAGCCATTCGCGCATGAAGGGAATGAGGGCAGCATGGGGTGCGTGCGGGGAACATCTTGCAGCTGAAGAGTATGGGCTGCAAGACTTTTGAGACGTCTCAAAAGGGAACATGAGCATGAGCTGGGCTGCAAGATTGAGGGGTCCGTGTGGAGATTTTTCAATGTCAAGAATCTGCTACTCTTCGTTGCATCTCACCTCGTCGCTCCTCCACCTCCTCCTCACCACAGGATCCAATCTTCTCCCGCCCGCTCCCTCCCATGTTCTTCCCTCCGACTCCTCCCCCCCCCCCCCCCCCCCTTCTCCGTTTCCCATTATTTTTCCACCTCCCCCTCTCCCCCTTCCCAAAATCGCCTTTTCCTTCCTACTCCCCCTTTCCCCGGGCCTGTCTTGCCCGCCTCCTGCGCAGTATCTGGACGGCACAACGGACGTGACCCGCACCATGCACTTTGGCATGCCCACGGAGCATGAGAAGAAGTGCTACACGCTCGTGAGTGGACCCAGGCATGACTGCACCCGAGAACGCGCTTCACCCATTTTTTTTATACTGACCTGTTGTGCAAGTGTGTGCATGCAAGTGCATGCATTGGTGATTACCTCTGTCATTCTTCATCCTCACAGCCTGGCATGCATCCACATCCATGTTGAGCTGGTCATGCGTGGATGCACCCACTTTACTCCGTCTCTTTTGCCTCCTCCTCATTCACTCCCTCTGCTCCCTTCCTGCTCCATCCCACCATGCACCCCGTGCATCCCGTGCACGTCTTGAATCGCCCCACCATCAGGTGCTCAAGGGGTACATAGCGCTGGAGCAGGTCATCTTCCCCAACGGCACCACCGGTACGCACCTTTGCCTCAAAAATCCTCCAGGGCTCCCTCTCTTGGATCCTTGTCATTTTCCCCAACGGCACCACCGGTACGCACGCACCTTTGCCTCACAAATCCTCCACGGGTCCGTCTTTTGTCCGTTCCTTGTCCGTCCCTTGGACCTTGTCGCCTTCTTTTCTTGTCCCTCCACTCGCGCTTCACTTACCAAACATTGTCTTTCATACTCCCCTTCCCTGCGATTCACCATTCACCTTCCCTTCCCTGCTACCCCCACCCCCCCTTGCCATCCCCCTTCCCTGATTCCGCCCTCTCCGCCTCCCCTGTGACCCCGCGCACCTGTGTGCGGAACAGGCCACATGTTGGATGTGCTACCGCGCAAGGCGCTGTGGCAGGAGGGGCTGGACTACCCGCACGGCACGGGGCACGGCGTGGGGTCTTTCCTCAACGTGCACGAGGGTGAGAGAGAGAGAGGGGGGCACGTGATAAAAGTGAAGTTCTGAGATGTCTCAAAACTTCAATGTTACCCGCACCGCACGGCACGGGGCACGGCGTGGGGTCTTTCCTCAACGTGCACGAGGGTGAGAGAGAGGGGGCGGGCACGTGTGGCTGGGCGTTGTGGTGGTGGGTGGGCGAGTGTGGAGTGGATGGGCCTGGATGGATTCTTCCCCTTTCTGCCAATGACCTTCCTTGCTCATTCCTGCCTTTCCTGCTTGTCACTACCCCCAGCCCTTCCCCCATTCGTCCCCCCATCTCTCGTCGTTTCCTGCTGGTGTTTCGTGGTTAAGTATGCTGTCCACTTTTGCTTTTACCAACCGCATCTACCACTCTCATCAGTCATCTCATATCTACTCTCTAACTTTTTGCCCTGCCAGTGCCACCATGCCTCACTTGTCTCCCATCACATGTGTGCTGTGCATCCATCACCCATCCGCACCTCACTTCTATCCACGCCTCACTTCTATCCGCACCTCACTTCTATCCACGCCTCACTTCTATCCGCACCTCACTTCTATCCGCACCTCGCTTCTATCCGCACCTCACTTCTATCCGCACCTCGCTTCTATCCACGCCTCACTTCTATCCGCACCTCACTTCTATCCGCACCTCACTTCTATCCACGCCTCACTTCTATCCGCACCTCACTTCTATCCGCACCTCATTTCTATCCGCACCTCATTTCTATCCGCACCTCACTTCTATCCGCACCTCACTTCTATCCGCACCTCATTTCTATCCGCACCTCACTTCTATCCGCACCTCACTTCTATCCGCACCTCATTTCTATCCGCACCTCACTTCTATCCGCACCTCACTTCTATCCGCACCTCACTTCTATCCGCACCTCATTTCTATCCGCACCTCACTTCTATCCGCACCTCATTTCTATCCGCACCTCACTTCTATCCGCACCTCACTTCTCACAGGTCCCCATCTCATCAGCTTCCGCCCCAAGGCCATTCAGACAGCCCTAAGGGCAAACATGACTGTCACTGATGGTACGCGCCGTGAGGGGGAGAGAGGAGGGGGGGGTATTATTGTACGCGCCAGAAGGGAAGGAGGTTGGGCTGGGAGAGTGTGGTGCGAGGGGAGTGAGTGGGCAAGGGGAGGAAGAGGGGGATGGGGACAGAGGGGAGGAAGAGGACCGAGGTGGTGGTGCAAGGGACTAAGAGTGCAAATGAGGGTGGTGCAAAGGCACCTTTCCCGTCCGCCTGGTTCTGTCTCCCCATGTGCCAACCAGCCACTGAGACGAGTGCCAGTGCCAGTGCCAGTGCCAGTGACTCTCTGACTCTCTGACTCACTCACTCCTATGCTCGTTTCACTCGCGTCGCGCTATCACTTGCCAGGTGGAGGAAACGAGCCCCGCTCCTGATCACCTTGTCCTTCCTTTCCTCCACCTCAGCCCCCTTTCCTCCCTTTTCCCCTTCCCCCACTTTCCCCCCCCTCTTTTCCGCGCCTCCCCCCATTGCCCGCCTCCCCGTCCCCCCTTTCCCCCATCCCACTTCCCCCCGGCTATCCCGACGCGTGGGAGCAGAGCCGGGGTATTACGAGAAGGGCAAGTTTGGCATGCGCGTGGAGAACGTGCTGCTCGTGGCGCCCACAGATCACGTCGGCCTTCCTTCCCCCGCTCCCTCTTCAGACCCTTTTCCCCGCTTCCCTTGTCCCTGCGCCCCCGGTTGCCGCTCCCCCACCTTTCCTCGAGCAGAGCCGGGGTACTACGAGGAGGGCAAGTTTGGCATGCGCGTGGAGAACGTGCTGCTCGTGGAGCCGACAGAGCTGCCTCACAACTTTGCCGACCGTGGCTGGCTCAAGTTCGAGCCCATCACCCTGGTGCGCTGCGCACAGGCGGGAAGGGGGGCGGCGGGCGGGGGCAGGGGCGGGGGAAGATGCATTTGCATTCACATGAGCACGAGCATTTTCCTTTCGAGCTGTCTGTATGCCCTGCACTCATGTCGTCTCTTGTGTGTTCATGCTCCCTCGCTCTCGCGAAACATTTTCCCTAGGAAAGCCTGCCCACCGGTTTTCCTTCTTCCCGCTCTCTCAAATCCCTCCCTCTCCTTCCTCCCTGCTCGCTCCCCAGCCCTCCCCTCCCTGCTCTCCCCTTAGACTTCTGTCTCCTCCTTGACGTCCCCTCGACTTCTGTCTCTCCAAACTCCCCGGCTCCCTTCTCCCCTTAGCCAAAGCACCACTCACCCATTTTTTCCCCCTCCACCTGCACACCACCACCTACCAGGCGCCAATTCAGACGAAGCTGATCGAGAACTCGCTGCTCACCAAGCCGGAGCGCGACTGGCTCAACCACTACCACGCGCGCTGCCGCAAGGAGCTCTCTCCCTTCCTCGAAGGTGCCGACCTGGACTGGCTGCACCGGGCCACGGAGCCGATTAAAGCCCACTAGGAGGAGGAAAAGGGGGGGGGGGGGGGGGGGGCTTGAAGCTGTGCTGCTGCCCCGCTCGCTCCATCGGACAAGCCCTCTTGCCGCCAAATGCTGCTTCGTCTTACATCTTTCCACTAACTTTGTGCTTGCTGACTTGCATTGCATGCTTGCGGGCTTGCATAATTGACCTCTAGATGTAGTACTGACAAGTCTTCGCTCCACTATATTGCTTTATTTCTATAAGTTGGGACATATATATGACCAAGTGCATATAATTAACTTGGATAAGTATTTCCTAAGTGACTTCACCCGAGAAAATAGCGTTCGTGTAGGGTCACCATAAGCTTGACCGAACAGAAATCGTAGCGCGTACGTAATCCCCAGTGCCCTTCGGCGCTGGCCATTTATCTGGTCCACTTCTGATTTCTTCATTTCATCCACTTCCCGCCCGCATCTCCCGCCGTCCCTCGCGTCCCTCGCATCCCCCTTGTGTGCCCGGACCGTTCAAGGTGCGTTGATCTTCCGTTCGCCCGTCCTGCCCACCCTTCTCTTCTCCCCTCTCCTCCCCCCCCGTTCTTTCCCTGTCGTGGGCGTGTCGTAAGCCTCACCGCATCGTCCCCCTGCCTCTCTGTTCGTGCACTCACTGTCGCCCCTCCACGTCTTTCATCCACTTTCTTACGCCGTGAGCGTTTCTGAGACGCCTCAAATCGAGACGTCGTGTGCAAGTATTTTCAAGTATTTCCACACCATGAAATCACGCCCGAATAATGCCCATCCTCTCATTCGCCCCTCTGCCTCAATCCGCGCGCGCCTTGCCTTCCCGCCTCCGCAATTCCCGCAACCCCCAGCCATGGCATCTTCCGCGCTTGCCAGTCGCTCCGCCGTCGCCGCCGCGTGCTGCGCCGCGACAGCCGGCGCCAGATCCGCCGCCTTGTCGTCGTCCCGCTCCGCCGGCCGCGTCGCCTCGGTACTTCCCCGCTTCGCCGCCGCAGCGGGTATCGCGGCGGTGTCCACGCGCGCTTCCCCTGCGCGCGCATCCGCTGCGCCAGGTACGCCGCAGTCGTTTACCGCCGTCCCGCACTCCCTTCCCCCGCGCCGCCTCCCCGTTCCCCGTTCCCGCCTCTCCCCTTCCAATCCATCGTAAGCCAGGCTCCCACCGCCCCATCCGCGCCTCCGTCTATCCATCTCTCACCCTCTCCTCCTCTCCTCCTCCCCCCACTCCCCCTTCTCCCCCTCCCCCGCGCCCTCGCGCCCCCGACCGTTCCCTGCAGCGGGCGGCAAGGCGGCGGTGGCGACGGCGGAGGCACCGGCGGCGCTGGGGCCGTACAGCCAGGCCATCCAGGCCAACGGCACGCTCTATGTTTCGGGCGTGCTGGGACTCGTGCCTGAGGTACGTGCGTGCGTGCGTGCGTGCGTGCCTGTATCAGATTCAAAGCAGGATGCTTGATGTGCGTGCTTTTGAGAATACTCGGGCGTGCTGGGGCACGGCACGTGCCTGAGGTGCATGCGTGCGTCCCTGCCTGCCGCTCACGTGCCGCCGCTTCCTGATGCGACGCTTCGGTGGGGCTTACGTGGCGCTTGGTGGGCGCTGGTTAGTGGGCAGCGGGCATGGAGGAGAAAAGCGCAGGAGTGAGAGAGGATAAGGAGGGAGGGAGGAGTGGAGGTAGAGAGGAGAGAGAGGAGAGAGGAGTGGAGTGCCTGCTGTGGGCTGATCCGTGGTGAACACGCGTGCAGGCACATGACTTCTGCGGCGCGTCGAAAGCTGTGTGCGAAGTCACGTGTTGTCATGCATTGTCATTGCCTCACCCATCCCTCACTTCCTGTCTCCGTGTGTGCTCCCTCCCTCTCTCCCTCTCCCCCCCTCGTCCTCTCGCCTATCCCTCCACCCGACACACCCATGGCAGACCATCAAGTTCGCAGGGGAGACCATGGAGGAGCAGACAGAGCACGTGTGTTTTGAGTCGACTCAAAACTCTCCTTCCTTTCTCCGTGTGTGCTCCCTCCCTCTCTCCCCCTCGTCCTCTCGCCTATCCCTCCGCCCGGCACACCCATGGCAGACCATGAAGTTTGCGGGGGAGACCGTGGAGGAGCAGACTGAGCAGGTGCTGGTGCTGCCCGCATATTATGGGAGGGAATGGGTTGTGGAAGGGGGATGGAGGAGGGGGTTAGGTGCTGGGGATGGGAGAGGGGGGAAGGATGCCTGGATCGTTGTTTATCCCTGGTTGTTCTTCCTACTACTCTTTTCCCGCGACCTCTTCCAATTACATCTGCACTCTTCCTCTACTTCTTTCTGCTCCGGCTTCTCTCTCCCCCTCCTCCCCTCATCCCGCTTCCTGCAACCGCTTAAAACCATGTGTGTGGGATCAATATCAGGAACTTTACAAACAGACCCTCGTCTTCCCTGCACTCCTCCCTTCTCCCCTTCTTATTCTCCCCATCCCTGTCCCCGCAGCTGATGAAGAACATGGGTGCCATTCTGCGAGGTGGGGGAGCAGACTTTGACTCGGTCGTCAAGACCACCATCATGTGAGCCACTCCCGTTCGTGGCCTTCATGCCACTCCACGTCGCATGTCATGTGCTTCGTGTCATGCCTTGTGCATCTGCGCTTTCAGTCTGTTTTATCCCCCCCCCCCCCCCCCCTTTCCAGCTGCAATCTCTGAAAACTTTTTTTGGCTGTTTCTCCGCTCATCCTCGCCTCGCACTGTCCCCGTGATGTCTTCCCCACCTCACACACCCCTCGTCGCCACCCCTTGCTGGCCCTGCAGGCTTGCGGACCTTGCAGATTTTGGCACCGTGAATAAGATCTATGCCACATGTGAGTCCCTTAGCACCGTGCCGTGCCATGCTATGTCATGTCATGTCAGCCAGACATTGTGCCATTTGTTCTCGACGCCACATTTTTCACCTGTCCCATTTATCAATGCCCCGCCTCGCTCCTTCACACTCATCCTGCCCCCTCTTTCCCTGTTCCCCCAGACTTCCCTGCACCTGCTCCTGCGCGCTCCACGTACCAGGTGGCAGCGCTCCCTCTGAATGCCCGCATTGAGATCGAGTGCATTGCTCTCATCAAGAAGTAGACGGCACCACATGTGCGCAAGTGCGCGCGCACAAACGCATATAGCAACAACATACGGTACTAGGATAAGAATGTGAAGTGCTAGTGAGTGTAGTGGACATGTCTAACTGAAACTATGTGCTAATGTATGGAAATATATTTCTGTTACTGGCTCATTCATATGTCTATGTACTGGTATCATTCACATACAAGATTTGGTTATGACAAGAAACAAGCAGTGCCACAAGAACAGTATGCAGAGGAAGCAACAACTCCAGCAGTGCTGATGTTGCTACTCTAACATCCTGCCCCTTGGGACAACTCAATAGTACGGTATGGTCAATTTCAATGAAAGGTTCCCCACCCCACATTCATCTCAGCAGCCTAGCAAAGACTATAGATACAATGTCTCGGGTTGATGCACTGTGGTGTGGTTATGCGTAGGTCAGAGGGCACGATGGTAGCATCTCCACAGCAATTCCCAGTGCAGGCTACCATGGCTGCGAAGTACGGTATCAGTACCGTACACACCAGCCACTGCAATTCGGCAGGAGCATAATGCTCCACGTGCTTGCTTCCCCAGCCGACACGAGCATGGCATGGCACAGCACTGCACATGGCATGCCACACCACTCACCGCATGAAACCATTACACACCAGACCTGATTCACCCACTCTCACCGTAACCACTCACTCCCACCACTCAGTGTCACCACACTCGTAACACGCCGCCCACTCAACCTCACCACCCTCTCTGCTCTCACCCTCACCACACACTCACTTCAAAACCGGTTGCTCTAGTGCAACAGGTGGCATGAATGCCATAGGCCTCATCATGTGCCACCAACCAAGTACGAGCATCATGCTCTCATGCAACAGGTGGCATCAGTGCCATACGGCCCATCATGTGCCACCCAAGGGGACTCAGCCCCTATCACTTGCTCTCACCCACCCAAGGGGACTCAGCCCCTTTCACTTGCTCTCACCCACCCAAGGGGACTCAGCCCCTTTCACCCACTCATGCGCATCATGCAAAGCTGGCATCAGTGCAACTCATCATGTGCCACCAACAACAGGTGGCATCAGTGCAACTCATCATGTGCCACCAACAACATGTGGCATCAGTGCAACTCATCATGTGCCACCAACAACAGGTGGCATAAGTGCCATATGGCTCATCATATGCCACTGCCAACCCCACTGCCTCTCACCACCATCACCACCCAGCCCACCCATCCCCTCCCCACCTTACCTGCCAGCAGTAGGAGCAGCAGACAGCCCACTCCCCTTCGGAAACAGCACGCTCAGGGCCTGTGCCTTGCAGTGCGAGGTGTGGTAGTGGAAAATTGCTTCCAGCCCAAGACTCAAATCCCACCCCTGACGTAGTAGCTAGAGCTGACGCGAACCAGAGCCGCCGGCCGGTCGACTCTGACGGTGTCCATTAAGCCTTAAACGCCAGATCGGTTACTTGAGCACCGAGTGCCGTGCCGCGCAGATTCCACCCACCACACCCCGACCCACAAGGCACAATCCCAGAGGATGCTGCCCCTAAGGCAGTGAACTCCCCGCTTGCTCCCACGCTCCCCACCCACCCACCCACCCACCAACCACACACTTCACCCCAATGCCTGCTTACCTCTCCTTACCTCTACCTACCTGAGCCATGCAGAGCGCCATGATGCCTCAGGCTGCTGGGAAGGGAGGGAGGCAGGGAGCAAGGGAGAGCAATGAGCAAGGAGAGAAGTACAGGCAGAAGCGTGATGGCAGGACAGGAGCAAGAAAAGACAGTGAAGCATTGGGAGAAGGAAAGCAGCAGCGTGAGTGAAGGAAACAACACAAACGAATGCATATCTGGCAGGGAGGGGAAAAGAGGCTCACCTTGCTTCAGACGACCCATCCCGATACTCTCCCATCCCATCCCAGCTGAGTGGAGTGCTGCCCCCCTCCCCTCTCCCCAAGTGACCTGGCAGTGGAGGGAAAAGGGGGTGAAGAGACAGGAGAGGAGGGGCAGGTAAGTTGGCATCAACTGAAACAGTAAAGTAAACAGAAGAACACTAGAGTGGACAAAAACGAGAATGCCGAATTGAAGTGAGGGAAATGAGGAATCTGTAGCAGGGAGGGGAAAAGAGGCTCACCTTGTTTCAGACAACCCAGCCCGATACTCTCCCTTCGCATCCCAGCCACGTGGAGTGCTGTCCCCTCCCCTCCCACCACTGCCACCTGCACAGCCACAGGGGAGGAGCGTGAGGGAGTGGCGGTGTTGACCCCCACGCCCCTCCCCTCCGCCTGCAAGGAGGAAACTGAAGACCAGTGAGTAAACGGCTAGGGGCAGAAACGTGAGAGGCGAGCATGGGTGGGGTGGGTGGGAGGTGAGAGCAGCAGGTTGCTCACACGGGAGCAGCGCTAGGCACATGGTGCAGACCCAAAGGTAAAGGTATAGTAAAGGGCTATAGTAAAGGTGTAGTGCTTAGGGTAGGCTTAACCTGGGGGCTGGGGGCTGAAGTGAGAGCAGAGAGAGAAGAAATTATGCGAGCATGAATGGACTGCTGCAGTGGCACACCCAAGAGACCTCATACCAGCTGAACCACACTAAACCAAATACCTGAGCACGTACCTGCTACCTTGCTACCTTGGGGGAGGGAGGTCTCTTGAGTGTGACAGAGGGCAGAAAGGAAGGGAGTGCATCATGCAAGCAAGACATGAAAGCCAACACAAGTACGAGGGTTGGGAGGAAAGAGCCAGGGCGGGGTACTTAGCTTAGGTGTGACCGTGTGGGTGGGTTGGGTAGAGAGCAGCTGCTGCCTGTGCACTCCATGTCCCCCGCCACTGTCACTCCCGTGTGAGCAACCTGCTGGGACGAGAGGGGGAAGATCTGGACAGAGAGAAGGGAGCAGAGGACGGGAATTGAGGAGTGGGGAGGGCAGTGAGGAAAGAAGCAAGGACAAGTGAGCGAAGTGAGAGCAGAGAGAGAAGAAATTATGCGAGCATGAATGGACTGCTGCAGTGGCACACCCAAGAGACCTCATACCAGCTGAACCACACTAAACCAAATACCTGAGCACGTACCTGCTACCTTGCTACCTTGGGGGAGGGAGGTCTCTTGAGTGTGACAGAGGGCAGAAAGGAAGGGAGTGCATCATGCAAGCAAGACATGAAAGCCAACACAAGTACGAGGGTTGGGAGGAAAGAGCCAGGGCGGGGTGCTTAGCTTAGCTGTCGGTGGGTTGGGTGGAGAGCAGCTGCTGCCTGTGCACTCCATGTCCCCCGCCACTGCCACTCCCGTGTGAGCAACCTGCTGGGACGAGTGGGGGAAGATCAGGACAGAGAGAACGGAGGAGAGGACGGGAATTGAGGAGTGGGGAGGGCAGTGAGGAGAGAAGCCAGGACAAGTGAGTTTGAAGTGAGAGCAGAGAGAGAAGAAATGATGCGAGCATGAATGGACTGCTGCAGTGGCACACCCAAGAGACCTCATACCAGCTGAACCACACTAAACCAAATACCTGAGCACGTACCTGCTACCTTGCTACCTTGGGGGAGGGAGGTCTCTTGAGTGTGACAGAGGGCAGAAAGGAAGGGAGTGCATCATGCAAGCAAGACATGAAAGCCAACACAAGTACGAGGGTTGGGAGGAAAGAGCCAGGGCGGGGTACTTAGCTTAGCTGTCGGTGGGTTGGGTGGAGAGCAGCTGCTACCTGTGCACTCCATGTCCCCCGCCACTGCCACTCCCGTGTGAGCAACCTGCTGTGACGAGTGGGGGAAGATCAGGACAGAGAGAAGGGAGAAGAGGACGGGAATTGAGGAGTGGGGAGGGCAGTGAGGAAAGAAGCAAGGACAAGTGAGTGAAGTGAGAGCAGAGGGAGAAGAAATTATGCGTGCATGAATGGACTGCTGCAGTGGCACACCCAAGAGACCTCATACCAGCTGAATCACACTAAACCAAATACCTGAGCACGTACCTGCTACCTTGCTACCTTGGGGGAGGGAGGTCTCTTGAGTGTGACAGAGAAGGGAGTTTGATGTATCATTCAAGCGAGACATGAAATGCAACACAGGTACGAGGGTCGGGAGGAGAGAGGCAGGGCGGGGTACTTAGCTTAGCTGTGGGTGGGTTGGGTGGAGAGCAGCTGCTGCCTGTGCACTCCATGTCCCCCGCCACTGCCACTCCCGTGGGAGCAACCTGCTGGGACGAGAGGGGGGAGATCAGGACAGAGAGAATGGAGGAGAGGACGGGAATTGAGGAGTGGGGAGGGCAGTGAGGAGAGAAGCAAGGACAAGTGAGTTTGAAGTGAGAGCAGAGAGAGAAGAAATTATGCGAGCATGAATGGACTGCTGCAGTGGCACACCCAAGAGACCTCATACCAGCTGAACCACACTAAACCAAAAACCTGAGCACGTACCTGCTACCTTGCTACCTTGGGGGAGGGAGGTCTCTTGAGTGTGACAGAGGGCAGAAAGGAAGGGAGTGCATCATGCAAGCAAGACATGAAAGCCAACACAAGTACGAGGGTTGGGAGGAAAGAGCCAGGGCGGGGTACTTAGCTTAGCTGTTGGTGGGTTGGGTGGAGAGCAGCTGCTGCCTGTGCACTCCATGTCCCCCGCCACTGCCACTCCCGTGTGAGCAACCTGCTGGGACGAGTGGGGGAAGATCAGGACAGAGAGAACGGAGGAGAGGACGGGAATTGAGGAGTGGGGAGGGCAGTGAGGAGAGAAGCCAGGACAAGTGAGTTTGAAGTGAGAGCAGAGAGAGAAGAAATGATGCGAGCATGAATGGACTGCTGCAGTGGCACACCCAAGAGACCTCATACCAGCTGAACCACACTAAACCAAATACCTGAGCACGTACCTGCTACCTTGCTACCTTGGGGGAGGGAGGTCTCTTGAGTGTGACAGACGGCAGAAAGGAAGGGAGTGCATCATGCAAGCAAGACATGAAAGCCAACACAAGTACGAGGGTTGGGAGGAAAGAGCCAGGGCGGGGTACTTAGCTTAGCTGTGGGTGGGTTGGGTGGAGAGCAGCTGCTG